TACCTGTTGAATTAAGTATTAAAAGAGCTCATTATTTAAAAAAAATAGGTAAAACTTTATTTTGGTATTATAAATAACCTCAAATGCATCTTGTGAAAAATTAATGTTTTCAATCTAATAAAGAATATATATCACTCAATGATTCTTTCATAATTACAAGCCTACGAGTTTAAATCTTATCCCGTTAGGTGGTATTATATCAATAATCATGAGATTAATAAAATGGATTTAATTGTAAAGTACATCCTCTTCCCCAGTGGCTTCCATGTTTCAGGTCTTAAAAGCATTATTTCTTTTTATTGCATTTGAGGAAGCGGTATTTTACTGACTTGTCAAGAAGACAGAAGTAGAGCTGTTGAGATTACCGATAGGACGCTGAATACCCAGATGCTCACCTCTTTATAAAATAAACAGATAACGCAAAGATATAGAAACCCTGTATCAATCTGCATCTGCTTATTCACATACCTTGTTTTCTTGACCTGAATGCTGCTACTGAGTTTCTCCAGCACATATTCACCAGTGTCATGATTAATGATAAGTACACAGTCTTTCTGATAAGGCCGTTTGTTCCCCTTAAACACAGTCATTGGTGGTGTAGATCCCTAAATGCCACAAAAGTAGAAGACAATCAAACTAGACACACCAGTTATGAATATCAAAACTGAACTTACAAATAACTATCTCATCAAATCTTTTATCAGAGCTACTCAAATAGATCAGAATAAACTGATTTCTATTTTAATTCCTCTGGCTTCCTAGGCAAAAAGGAAGGGGAAATAATAATATAGCAAGAATCTGTAACTGTGCAACTGCTTCTCAGTAATCGAGAAAGGTAATATAAACTTGCAAAATTACTGTACCTTTTTCTAAGGACTCAAGTTGTGTTACAAGTAATGGCAAGGTGTGAATAATTAGCCATTACTCAGTATTATACTGAGTAGAACTTTCACTATGAGAGTAAAACCAGTAAGTAATCATGGTATTTCCTTGTAATTTCAGAGTCCGGGGCTTCCCCTGAGGCCAAGCAAGCAAAAGAGCATTCTCTAAGGGCAGCTCATTATTCTGCTTGGCTCAGAGTAAGTACATCATGCCACTCATCTGCCTAAGCCCTTCAACTGCTACCCTGTTGCTCTGAGACAAAAGAATAAAATCTTTAAACCAGACACCTGGCCCTTCTGCTCACTCAGCCCTCGGCTCTGCGGAATCCAGAGCAGAAGGTGGCTGGCCTCTCTCAGATTCTCAAGCTCTTTCTTGCAGGGCTTTACCAAGGCTTCTGCCTACAACATCCTGTCCCTTCTTGTTCAATTACTCAACCTTCAAATCTGCTCAAAGGTCACTTCCTTAGAAAAGCCTTCCCTGATTTTCTAAAATAAATGCTGTTTTTTATATTTATTTAATTCCAGACCATAAGCTCCCCAAGGGCAAGAAATATGCTTGTGTCGCTTAAGATTGTATTCTCAGTGCTTAGTAATGGGCCAGCACACAGTAGGTACTCAATTAATATGACATAAATAAAAAAATAAAAATTAGTATTTGACAAGTATAGGATTTAATCCCTTATATAGAATCAAAAACTGCTTAGCTCTTTGACTCCCTATTCATAGGGTAAAAACTTAAGAGTTGGAAGGGACCTTAGAGACCATTTATCTAACCCCTTCATTTTACATTTGGCAAATGAAGATCCAAAGGGAGATGATGTAACCTGCCAAAGGCAACAAGTAATGAAATAGCAGTTGGAACTGGCAGACAAGTAATTGTTCCTCAACGTGAAGCTTCTTGTCCAGAGCCTTTTCATTCTATCACTGGTTACCAAGACCTTATTATGTTCCATCACAGGACTGTGACATGCAATGACACATGTTCATTAAGAGTGCTTTGTTTGATCCTTTAGGCTTTCTGATTACAGTGTTGCCTTGGGCAAAGCTTCATAAAAACCTCTCTGCAAGGGATCTCAATTTAGCTTTTAACTGGGTTCCTCATCTCTAAATTAGCTGACTGCTCTGATCCTCCAGTTCTTGCTTGAAACTTTCAGCCTACACTTCACCTTTTGCCAGATGTATGAAATATGTTAATCCTGCTCCTGCCTCCCTTAACTCCTGGCTTGCCTTGCCACACTCCTAAACGGTTGTTGCTATAAATCAACATGGCATCTAGGGCTTTGCTCTTTGGGGGGGGGGGGGGGGGGAAGCTATGCAGATCTAAAAGAGGGGCTAGGTATCCAGATAGGAACATTGTCTATTTTGTAGCAAATGGGAGAAAAGGGAGCTTGGGGAAAATGGCCAAGAATCATTTTTACTCAAGCACCTGGGAGGCACGAATTCCAACCTACCCCACCCCCAAAATTCCTTTTTCCCTTATGCTGGAACTTTAGAAATCTAGAGGTTTTTAAATAGTAGGAAATTCAAATGGCAATAAATAGAATATGAGGATTCACTGTGATTCCACAATGCATAAACTTACAGGGATATGTGGCAGTGTAATTGTGACTTCATCTCCTTTGCCAACCTGAAGCTCTCCTTCACAAGAAGTATCTATAGATGCTGGCTTAAAGTCATCTAAAGGGAAAAGCAAAAGAGCATTTATCCACCAAGTTACTTATACTAAGCCTCCTGGGCATTCTTATTTAAAAATTTAAATTTTGGGGGGCGCCTGGGTGGCTCAGTCGTTAAGTGTCTGCCCTTGGCACACAGGTCATGATGCCAGGGTCCTGGGATCGAGCCCCGCATCGGGCTCTCTGCTCTGCGGGAAGCCTGCTTCTCCCTCTCCCTCTCCCCCTGCTTGTGTCGTCTCTCTCTGTCAAATAAATAAAATCTTTAAAAAAAAAAAAAAATTTAAATTTTTTTGTTACTTCACATAAATGGAAAATACAAATTTAGAATTAAAAAAACAACTATTTCATTGTGGAAAACCCTGCATATACAAAAGCAAAGAGAATAGTACAATGAGCCCCTGTGTACTATCATCCAACCTCAATAATTACCAACTCAGTGACAATCTTGTTTTATCTATACCTCCCACATACTTTTCCTCCCATCCCCACTGGATTATTTTGAAGAATAAAAAAAGCTAGAACTCATATACCATTTCATTAAGCAAAGATGCTCCCTTCTCCCAAGTGACAGATGAAAATTAATGCCTTATTATCCGTAAGGTGTTTTATCCGGGTTGTTGTGTACAGGATCAAAAGCAACAGAGCATATTAAGAAGATTCTGTGATTGTTAAACCCTATATGAAACATGAAAGGCCATGGTACCACATAAGCTGATTTCATTTTGCACAGAAACTCAAAATTAGGATTTGCCACACTCAAGTTCCATAGATTTAACAAAAATACTCTTGTGAAAGATGGTTGAACTGTACCTCCAAAGGTTAATCCTGCCCATATCTCTCAACTGCTGCTGAAGTACAACATGAATAGCCATCTTACTCCATTTTGACATACACTGGCCTCAAACTGCAGATCAGGTGCATATGTGAAGCGTCCCAAATTCCACACTGCCCTTCACGCTACGAAACCATCAACTTTGGAAACTGCTCAGGAAATGATGCTCTTATCACATTCCCAATATCCTCCCTCTGAAAGAGCCGATCTGCTCTCAGTAGGAGACATAGTAATGTTAATGACAAGTGACCACAGAAAGATGGAACTTCATTATCTAACACTCCCTCTTCCAATGTGTTGAGTCACATTTATTAGCTCCTTCGACAAAAACAAGTCTTAACCAGCATTAGTACTACCAAGACGGGAAACCAGGAGCTTGTGAATCACACAGGGATGATCAGTCAGCCCATTCTGAACAGCCAAAACTTTACCCAAGACACAGAGTGGACGTGCCCTCCCTCAACAGAGTCTGTAATCACGTAGAAAAGGAAGGTCCAGCATAATGACTATTTGGACATTATGCCTCCTCTCCTCTGCTTCCAAACATAGCTCAAGCTTTAACTTATTCCAGGCTCACGAATTCTAATTTTATTCTTCACCCACATGAGACTTGGGACTGAGTTAAAGTCTGGGTTGTACAGGTGACCTCAAAAGACAGCAGAGTCAAACGAGGCACGGAAAGCTGGAGGGGGAAGACTGATGGAACGCACAGAGGATGCGGATTCTTTGGCTGCCGAGGGGATGAAGCGCAAACTCAGGGTGTGACCAGAACAAAGACGAACGAGGAAAGAAGGCTAAGGAAGACAGGGAAGAAGAGGATGGAATAGGAGGGAGTCGATGAGACTCCTGAGCAAACGGGAAGAGTCCTTCCAACGTGGAGGACCCTGTAGGGTCATCAGAAAGGGGGATGGATTAGACGGAGAACTGGAGTCTGACGTGGGGTCACAGTCTTTCGGTAATAAAGAGGGGTGAGTTTCGCTTAAAGGGCTGGGTGGGCGGACGAAAAAGGAAAGGGGCCAATAGCCTTCGGAAGAAGTATGTGGGATCACAAGACAGAAGAATAGTTGGGAGTGGCGAAAGGTTTGGTTTGGGAGTGAGCTGGAAGGGGGGGGGATCGAGGTCCCGGGAGGATCTTGGGGTAAGAGAGAAGGGAGCTGACGTAGGCAGGGGTTCCTGGGCTTTGGAGGGCCGAGGGGAGAGGACGGAGTCGGGTGGGCGAGAGGAGGGCGCAGCGGCCGAAGGGAACAGAGGGAAGCTCTGGCTTACAGCGAATGGTGTGGAAAGAGGCCCGCGGCCGCTTCTCGAAGCTCTCCCCGAGCCGCAAGCAATGCTCCTCGCGGTCCAGCAGCGGGTTCGCGGTCCCGTTCATGGCCCCGCACGAGCCTCGCGCCCGGACCGGCACTCTCCTGGCGCGGCCGCGGCCCCCGCTTCCCGCGCCAGCGTCCGGGGGAACGACGCTCCCTGGACAGCGCTCCGCAGCGCACGGCGAGCCCAGCCGGCGGCCACCCGGGGCCGGAAGCAGATCCTCTTCTCCGCGGCGGGGTGGGGGAGGACTGCGCGGAAGCAGGGCCGCGGGACTTCCGGCGTCGGGGAGGGACCTCGGGCTTAGTGGCGGAAGTGGGGGGGCGGTGCCATGGCAAAGGATTCCGCCGGGAGAGGTCCTCGAGGCGAGTTTGTCCCCGCGCCGCGGCTCCCCGACTCGGCTTCCGAGCCCGGGGCCGGGCTGAGGGCTGAGTGCGTCCGGCCCTCCCGGTCCAGGTGAATGTAAGAACTGATGACGGTGAGCCCGAGCGCGGCGAACTGGATGAACAGGGGCCCGAGAGCCAGTGTGGCCGGCTCTCCGCAGGCCCTGGCGGCCGGGGCGGCCTAGTGTCTCCCGAGCGCCCTGAGCGCGACGGATCCTGCCCTGCGCGTCATTGGCCTCTTCTCCTTCGCGCGTTGATGGAGAAGCAAGAGCCTCAGCCCCTGGGATGAGACGCCTCCTCTGGTTCGTGAGACAGCTTCTTGCGAGTGCGATCAGAGACTGGGGCCGCAGGGCTTAGCTCCTAATCCCCCCCTCCCCGCAGAGTGAGTCTCTGATCCTTGGGAAAGGATGACTCCACTTGACCACCCATTGAACCACCAGTTCAAGGAGCTCTCGTGATTGTCATAAGTCGCCCCTTCCGCAGGTCCTGAAAATTGATGAGTGTTTTCTCAGTCAATTCTTGGGCGTGTCCTTTTTCTGAACTAAACCGATATAATAGTTGACTTGTTGTGGTTTGAACTAGAGTTTGGTGCGTGAGAGTGCTGGCCACTGAATGTAAGCAAGCCCTCTGAAGGTAGGGACTATGTCTTGGTCTTTGTGACCGACCTCTTGTGTAGTGGGCCGGGTTTTGTGTAGAGTCAGCGTCTAGTAAATGGTGAATTGAACTGTTTGGTGCAAGAACTGTTCTAGAACCACTAACCCAGCGTCTTAAAAACTGTTCTAGGGCGCCTGGGTGGCTCAGTTCGTTAAGCGACAGCCTTCAGCTCGGGTCACGATCCCGGAGTTCCAGGATGGAGTCTCATGTCTGGCTTCAGGGAGCCTGCTTCTCCCTCTGACCACTTCCCGCTCCCCCCACCCCACCACCCCCGCTCACACTCTCTCAAATAAATAAATAAAATCTTAAAAAAAAAAAAAAAAAAAAACTGTTCTAGAACCACTAACCGGAATCTCCTCTTTTTTCCTGCAAAGTGTCCAATGCTGTCTGAGGCTTGAATCCAGCCTGAGAAACCACATCTGAAAAACCCTGCCTATGTCTGCAGTATCAGCTTGGATTCCTCAGGTTATTCAGGGCTGGATTATCTTCAGCAGTGTTAAATATATTACCATCAATTTAGGAGATGGCTTCTTTGCAAAGGAAAGGGCTGCAGGCAAGGATTCTCAGCTCTGAAGAAGAGGAGAAACTGAAAAGAGATCAAGCTTTGGTGTCTGATTTTAAGCAGCAAAAACTGGAAAAAGAGGCTCAGAAGAACTGGGACCTTTTTTACAAAAGAAATAGTACTAACTTCTTCAAAGATAGACACTGGACCACCAGAGAGTTTGAAGAGCTCAGATCATGTAGAGAGGTAAACTAATATTGCACCTTACTTGAGTTGTTTCTCATTTCAAATGTGAAGAGGAGTGTTTATTGCAATCCTGTGGTGAATGTGAGGTAGAAAATTTACGAAGCCTGTCAGAATGCCTTGTTCCTTAGAAATACACTGGTTTTAGGTAGTTTGCTAGTTCCTGGGTTATATAATCCATAGGAAAGAGAGCTTTAGTAGACATTTTATTTCTTAAAGCCAGTCTGAAAGTCGTAAATATTAATTTCATACTGGGTGACTTCAGTGACAGATGCAGCTTCATAATAAGGATGATTAACACTTTACCATGGCCCTTTTCTAGAACTTTAAATGTGTTCTGTAATTTAAGCCTTATAATAACACTGTTGAGGTAGGCATCATGATTATCCCCACTTGCTGGTAGAAGTGAGGCACAGAGCTGTTTAAGTGATTTGTCCAGTGATAGAACATGGGTGAAGGGAGAGATTTGAGTGCAAGCAGTTTAGTCCCAGAGCCCGTTCTGTTGGCTGTTCGGCTGTGTTTTCACCATATCACACTACCCAATGTTGGACAAGTGAGGTGTCAGTATTAGCTTTACGTTTTCGGTTCACTTGTTTATTGTCGGCTTCCTGGGGGCAGAGACCTTGTGTGTTCTAAGATGTAGTTTGCTTTGTTTCTCTGTGATGCAAATGTAGCATACTATAATTTTGGGTTCTCTTTCCTCAGTTTGAAGATCAAAAATTGACTATACTTGAAGCTGGCTGCGGTGTTGGGAACTGTTTATTCCCACTTTTAGAAGATCTGAATATCTTTGCCTATGCCTGTGATTTTTCTCCAAGAGCAGTTGAATATGTCAAGGTTGGTGCTCCATCCATGTATTCTGTTGTGTTGCTATTTTCTTAGATTTCTCTGACCTGCCCTCTCTACCCATTTGCCTAATTCCTGTCCTCTCTTTGAAGCTAACCAGCTGTGATCACCATGAATGTGTCTTTCCTGTTTACATACAAATATAGTATCCATACACTCTGGTTTCTCTTCAGATCGCATAAATCTTTCCTCTTACAAATATAGTATCCACAAAAACATAGCTTTATTCAGAAAAGTAGAAAGAATTACCAAAATGACACCTAGATATTTATACCCAGATTTACTGATTGCCAGCATTTCACCACATTTGCTTTATAGACTTACTTCTTTGCTGAACTATTTTAAAGATTTTACTTATTTATTCATTTAGAGAGAGCGAGAGCACACGCCCACACCAGTGGGGGAGGGGCAGAGGGAGAGAGAGCTTAAGCAGACTGTGCTGAGTGCAGAGCACTACAAGGGGCTTGATCTCAATGATGCTGGATCATGATCTGAGCTGAAATCAAGAGTTGGACACTTAACTGACTGAGCCACCTAGGTGCTCCTGCTGAACTATTTTAAAGTATAGATGTCACGACACTTTTCTCCTAAATATGTCTTCCTACATATTCAAAAAAATAAGGGTTTTTCCTGTATGAGTGCAGTACACTTATTATTATATCTAACAAAAGTAACTGTAATCCCCTAATGTCATTAGTACCCACTACAGATTCAGATTTACTCAAATAGTCCCAGGTGTCCGGACTACATCTTGTACTTCTTAATGTACCTTAAATCTCCTTAGCCTAAAACATTTCTGCCCTTCCCCTTGACCTTTTCTCCACTGGCATTGAGTTTTTGAAGAGCAAGCCATTTTCTGTAGTGCGGTCCCACATTCCAAATTGGTCTCATTGTTTATTCATATCATTGTTCAACTTGTTTCTTTATCCCCTGTATTTCCTGTAAACTAGAAGTTAGATTTAAATCAGGTAAAATATTTTTGGCAAAAATAACTATAATAGGTGATGTTGTATCTTTGATATTACATCCTGTCCGGAGGCATTAATGTCTGCTAACCTCACTATAAGTGATGCTAGCTTTAGTTTTGATCGCTGGGTTAAGGTAGTAACTACCTAGTTCCTACCTAAAAGGTGCCTTCCTAAGGGTTACAAATATTTACCTTTTGCCATTAACAAATATGTGGGGGATACTTCGGCAAATACTTAATTTTCCATCAACCTTTCACAGTTTTAGCATCCATTAGAAGTTTTGTTGTTGTTTTTAAAGATTTTCTTTATGTACTTATTTTAGAGAGAAATAAAGTGTGCAGGGGAGGGTGAGGGCAGAGGCAGATGAGGAAGGAGAGGGACAAGCTGACTTCACACTGAGCATGGAGCGAGGTGTGTTACTAATCCCATGACCCCCCAGGATCATGACCTGAGCCAAAATCAAGAGTCAGACACTCAACCAACTGAGCCACCGAGGCTCCCCTAGAAGTTTTTTTAATAGTAGCATCACATTGTACTATAACTTGCTTTCTTCACTCCACATCTTATCTTGTAGAGTTTATCTTAGTACATGTAGGTCTACCATATTCTATCTGTTGTAGTATTCCATAGGATGGATATACCATACTTTAACCATTACCCTGTTGATGTTTGTTTAAATCATTTCTAATTTTTCACTCTTACAAATAGGGTTAATGTCATAAGCATTATGCACTGCTCCCCAAAACACGTGTGAACACTTTTCTCTGTGGTGATGGAAGAATTCCTTGGAGAGAAAGCATACACATTTAAGTTTCAATATTTCAAATATATATTTTAAAATTTAATATATAAGTTTTAACATATAGCTACCATTCTGTCTACGCCCTCACCATCTTTTTTTTAAATTTTATTTATTTGACAGCGTGTACAGGCACAAGTGGAGGGGGGGGGACATGGAGGCGGAGAAGAAGCAGGCTCCCCACTGAGCAGGGAGGGGGGGCGGGGAGTAGGGCTCAATCCCAGGACCCTGAGATCATAACCTGAGCTGTAAGACAGATGCTTAAACGACTGAGCAGTTCAGGTGCCCCCACCCTCGCCATTTGCTATCAGTCTTTTTTTACATCTCCCAATCTTATGGGCAAAAAGTAATACTCCATATTGTAATTTGTTTATTCCTTCCATACGTAAATCAGCATTAGTGTTCCTTCAGATCGTGAGTTCCCTTATCCCACATACATTTATCGAGAGCCTCATATGTGCCAGTTGTATGCACTGGGCTTGAGTAGTAAACAGAACACAGAAGAACCCTCAGGTGGCGTTTGCATGATAGTATGACTTGTCTGTTCCTAACCTTCGCTCATTTTTCTGTCATTTTCTTATCTTTAGAGTGCATTCTGAATATTCTGTTAGATATTTTTGCAGACATTCTAGTTAGCATTTGTGGTATTGTCTTTTGACAGAATCTAAATTATGTGCAAATTTATTAATCTTTTCCTTTCAAGGTTCTAAGGTTTTCTGTCTGGTTTAGGAGTTCTGTAAATGTATATATTTTTTTAAGTTTTGGTTATTATGTTTTTTAATTAATCTGGAAAAATTTTGGCCATTATTTCTTCAGCTCTGTTCTCTCTTTTTCTGAGATTCTAATTACATATATGTTACACTACTTGCTATTGTCCTACGGCTCTTGGATGGTGTTTGGGGGTTTTTTGGGTTTTTTTTTTTAAGCTTTTTTTTTCTCTTTGCATTTTCAGTTTGTATTATTTCTTTCATCCTGATTATCATCAAGCTCACAGATTCCTTCTTTTTTTTTTTAAAGATTTTATTTATTTATTTGAGAGAGAGAGAGAGAGAGAGAGCGCACATGAGAGGGGGGGAGGGTCAGAGGGAGAAGCAGGCTCCCCGCCGAGCAGGGAGCCCGATGCGGGACTCGATCCCAGGACTCCGGGATCATGACCTGAGCCGAAGGCAGTCGCTTAATCAACTGAGCCACCCAGGTGCCCGTCACAGATTCCTTCTTAAGCAGCAAGCTTTGATGAGCCTTTCAGAAGCATTCTTCATTTTTGTTACTATGTTTCTGGTTTTTAGTATGTGTGGTTGATTCTTTTTGTAGTTTCTGTTTCTCTGCTGAAATTACCTATCTGATCTTGAATTTTGTCTTTTTCTTTTTTTTTTTTAAAGATTTTATTTATTTGACAAAGAGAGAGAGAGGGAGAGCACAAGTAGGCAGAGAGGCAAGCAGAGGGTGAGGGAGAAGCAGGCTTCCCGCAGAGCAGGGAGCCCGATGTGGGGCTCGATCCCAGGACCCTGGGATCATGACCTGAGCCGAAGGCAGACGCTTAACAACTGAGCCACCCAGGCGCCCCGAATTTTGTCTTTTTCATTAGAGTCTTTAACGTATTAATCACAGTTATTTTAAATGCCCGAACTTTTAGTTCCTCTATCTATGTCATATTTGAGTCTGGTTCTCATGATTACTCTGTCTCTTCAGACTGTGTTTTCTTGCCTTTTGGTATGCCTTGTAGTTTTTTTGCTGAAAGCCAGATACGTTATATAGGGCAGTGGATACCGAGGTAATAAGGATTTGTAATAATCTAGACAGGAGTTGAGCAGTGTTTGAAATCTCCTGTTGCTGTAATTATCTGTGAGGTTTGTTGTTGTTATGGACACCAGAGACTTCAGACTCCTCTGGTGACTTGGCTCATGTCTCCCCTTTTGACTTTGTGTCTTCTCTTTGTACCATCGCTCTTGCAGCTTTCCCACCCGGTTCACTGTGGTTATTAGCACTGGACACTTGTTGGTAAGGTGTGGGAGAAGGGATTGCTGTCTAATGCTCTGATTCTCAGTTTCTGGACTGCATAGTGGGCCCGTGTCTCAGGAGTGTGGTCTTCACAAGTATGTCTGCTGCTCCAGGACTAGAGCTTTTCTCTCCCTTCCCTCCCTCAGGAGGTTTGTACCGGTGTCTTCCTTTCTGGTGTTGCGGCCATTCTCTCTTCAGATTAAGACTAGGTTTGGGACCCCTGGCTGGCTCAGTCAGAAGAGCATACATCTCCTGATCCTGGGGTTGTGAGTTTGAGCCCCACATTGGGTGTAGAGAGTACTAAAAAAAAATAAATAAATAAGCTTAAAAAAAAAATTTAAAACTAGGTCTGAGCAGAGTAGTTTCCTTCCCCCAGTGGCAGTGGTATTCCACCGGTACCCTAAGTCTGTAGGCCTCAGATGACCTTTCCCCTGCATTTTAAATCTTTTCTTCCTTAAAGGAGATGAGAAAGGCCAGCACCAAGGTGAAACACCATCCTCTCTGAGAGCCCCATGATGTTCCTAGAGGAGACACCTACAAAAGGATGGGAATACCCCTATTAATTCAGCCCCCAGGGGCTTCACACTATAACATCTGTACTCAGTCTCCAGCAATTTGTCAAATTTCTAGTTTTGTCTTTCCAGTCTGGAGGCTTCTGCCTCAGGTAAGCAGATGCTTAGGTCCTGTCTCTCCTGGAAGGCACTTGTCCGTCTCCATATTTTGGGGTAGCTGGTGGTTTTTTGGCCTCTGTGCTTTGATAGGTTCACAAAAAAATCATTACTTTGCTCTCTGTCCATCGTTTTTCTTATTATAAGGATGGGAGCTACATTTTTATACCTCTATACATCTTTGAACTGAAACCAGAAGACCTCTGATTCATGGGTAACCAATCATCCTTTAACACAAGTATAGAACTAGTTGTTCAAACACAATAAATTGAATAAGAAATTCATTTTTCTTCCCTGACAATTGTCACCTTTATTATCTACGTTTTTTGCTATATTTGTCATCTTTGTCACCTGTCTTTTGTCATATGCAATACTAAATTCCTCTATATAGAGGGGGTCTGTTTGGGGGACTCTGTTCTGTCTCAGTGATTTATTTGTCCCCATTCTCAAACCTCATTGATTGATTGATTGATTGATTTTTAAGATTATTTATTTATTTGACAGAGAGACAGCAAGAGAGGGAACACAAGCAGGGGAGTGGGAGAGGGAGAAGCAGGCTTCCCGCCGAGCAGGGAGCCCGACACGGCTCAGGCTCCCAGGACCCTGGGATCACGACCTGAGCCGAAGGCAGACGCTTAACGACTGAGCCTCCCAGGTGCCCCAAATCTCATTGTGTTAGTACTACATTTTGTAATATGCTTTGATGTTGGTAGTGTACCTCCTCCTTCATTGTTCTTCAATTTAAAAATGGACTTGGCTCTTCTTAAAGATTTTTGCTTCCAGGTGAATTAAAATTTGCCTTGTCAAGTTTCTAGAAATCCATTGGGATTCTGTTGAGATCACATTGGATTTAGAAGTGGAATTATTGGTGGAATTGACATCATTTCAATATTGAATCTTCCCATCCAGTACCTTTGTATCTGTGTTTGAGTCCTTATTTACACTACAGAAAAAAATTAATATTTTTTATAATGCTCTTATAATGATTTATACTTTATGATACTCTTTCTTTATGATACTCTTATATAGTACCTTTTCTTGTAATGCTCTTAAACCCACCATCCACCATGTACAGGAACACTTGTGGCAAAAAAAAAAAAGAAAAGAAAAGTTAGGTTTACTTAGCTTGCTGCCTCAAGGGAAAATACGCCCCAAAGAACTATGGGAGCATCTGCATGAGTGGATTTGGAAGGACTTCTCAGAGGATTTAGACTTGTAGTGGGTGACTCAAAGGAGGATTAAGGAAGCCCAGGTCAGTTTTGACTTATCATTCCTTTAGAAATATGTACTTCTAGAATGCTCAGCTTTGAATATGTGATAGCTTGTGTTCTCTTTTCAGTGAAAGATGATTTGTTAAAATGAAATCTTGCTCCTCATAGCAATACTGAATACTGCAAGCTTTAGGGTACAAATGCTGCATTACTCAGTTTTACTCAGTAATGAAGTGATCTTTGATATTTGTGCAGCAGTGCACAAGTGGAAATAGGGTCTCCTTTTATTTTTTTCCATTGGATCTCTCTTTGATGCTGTATTTTTCTGTGTGTGTCAACATGGATGTTGCATTAAAATTCTTTTTTTTTTTTCCCCTCTTCTCTAGGAAAATCCTTTATATGACACAGAAAGATGCAAGGTGTTCCAGTGTGATCTAACCAAAGATGACCTTCTGGAACATGTGCCCCCAGAGTCTGTGGATGTTGTCATGTTGGTATTTGTACTCTCTGCTGTTCACCCTGATAAGATGCACCTTGTCTTACAAAATATTTACCAGGTTAGTGATTTGGAGCCGAGAGGTTGGACATCCTGATCTTTTTGCTTACCTCCCCTGTGAGGCTCATGTCTAAATTCACAGAGTCTCCTCATTCCCACTAGGTGTAGGCCCTGTAGTCAGTGTATGGAAAGGGGTTCTCCTACATCAAACATTCACCCTAAATTCTGATTTGTCTGGTAGCCATCACTGCTCTTCAGACCTTGGCCTGCCTTGGAGCAAGGATGATTTTACAATGATCTGGGCTCTATGCATGGAATAACATGCAGATATTCCCTGCTGTAAAGTGAGGGGAGGGTATGGTTCGGTGGTCAAGAAGCACCTGGCGTCAGAGTGCCTAGAGACAAACCTGGCTTCCCTGCTGAAACAAGTTCCTTTACCTCCCTGAGCCTCAGTTTCATTACCTATAGAATATTGAGATACTAGATTGCATGAAATATATGAAATATGTATAAAATGCTTAGCACAATGCCTAGAACATGGTAAGTGCTCTTTAAAAGTCAGCCATTGTTGTTACTATCATCATTATTACTAGAATGGGGAGAACCCAAACTGGCCATCAGGAGGCTGCTATAGCACTCAGGAAGTAAAGCGACACTCTGAAGTCATGTGACTCAAGACAAATCACCTCACCTTCTTCCTTGGGCTTTAGTTTCCTTGGCTGTAAAATGGGGGTGTCTCTCAGAGTTGCAGGTGAGATCATGAATGAAGCTGCTTTATAAACTACAGTAGAATTTCTCTTACATCTATGGCAACAGTGTTGATTCATTTAAAGATCAACTAAATCAAGAAATCGTAAAAAAAAAAAAGGTACATTCTTACCTTAAACATTTTATATAACTTAAAATATATTAATATTCGTTTGTTACTCTTTTGATATAGAGCCACAGCCTTTTCTTTGAGTAGGGGGCTGTTTATCATCTTTCTTATATAAACCACACATATAGTAGAGTTTTGGTTTCTTAAAAGCAGAGTGAAGGGTGCCTGGGTGGCTCAGTTGGTTAAGCGTCTGCCTTTGCCTCAGGTTGTGATCCCTGGGTCCTGGGATTGAGCCCCGAGTTGGGCTCCCTGCTCAGCAGAGAGTCTGCTTCTCCCCCGCCCCTCCCCCTGCTCATGCTCACTCTCTCTTTCAAATAAATAAATAAATAAGTATCTTAAAAGTGGAGCGAAGACTTAAAAACAATTGGAAAGTAATGTGAGGGCAGATTCTTTTATATTTTTACCCAGACTTCTTGCTTCTCCCACACCTAATTAGATACAGTTTGTTCAGTGCTGCTTTATCAAGTCTTTCCAAAAGTATTGAATGTACTTTTCATAGGAACCCAAATGCTCATTTTTGCATATTGCATTGTTTATGTACTCGTATATAACTCTAAATCTAAGTACAACTGGCATAAGCAAGTTTGGGAACCAACACAGGTGACCCGTGGTAAGCACACAGCTCACCTGGGGGCCCTTAAAGCACAAGGACACACAGCCTAGAAAGCCTGTAAGCCTCAGCTGCTTGGTGAGTCGGGGGCTTCAGTCAGTCTGCTTTATAAAGGGAGAAAAGAGCGGTCGGCAGGTTGAAAAAGTAGATGTTTTAAATGTTTTTTAAGAAATTCAGATATTGTGGGGCACCTGGGTGTCTCAGTCGTTAAGCATCTGCCTTCAGCTCAGGTCATGATCCCAGGGTCCTGGGATCGAGCCCCGCATTGGGCTCCCTGCTCGGCGGGAAGCCTGCTTCTCCCTCTCCCACTCCCCCTGCTTGTGTTCCCTCTCTCGCTGTCTTTCTCTCTGTCAAAAAATAAATGAAATTCAGATACTGCTATGTTGGTTTCAGCTCTCTGTGAGGTTTTATAAGGTTTTTTTCCTCCTTACTTCCCCTTTCTCTGCCCATGGTATCTGAGCAGATGAGAACCCAGCATGTCCCCACAAATGGGCATGGAACTGAACCTGGGTGAAGAGGGAGGAGAGGGCATCAGGGAAGAAAAGGTAGGATCACCTGATTTGAAGGTCCAGGTGAGGGCAAAGGATGATTAAAGATGGGGAACTAGAGAGAGAGCTGGAAAGATGGTTTTGGAGTTGGCCAGCGTGGCTTGTATAACATTGAGAGACTGGAGGGGTTATACTTTTTGCTGTTGACAAGACTTGTGGACATTACCATGGGAGTGAGTGGTCTAGAAGGGTGGAGGACAAGATCTAGGAAGAGAGAAGCTCAAGTCATTAAGAGGCCAGCATATTTGGAAGGATAATCCGCGTATATTGAAATTGCTCAGAACTAAGAATGGAGTAGTATTGAGGACAGGAGAATAAACCAGAGGATACATTCAATCATGAAACAGGGATATGACCCTGGAACTAATAGATGACAGTAACATTAAGGGATAGCAGATGATATAATCTGATGACAAGCGATTCAGGGCCAGGGGGTTTAGGGAGGAGAGAGAGTACACGAGAAAGTAGCGGTGAGAAGCATGGAGGACACCAACGTCATCTCCAAGCCCAGTGGTACAAGGGTGAGTGGAGAAAACACAGCCCTGACTTGAGAGGTTTTGGGGAAAATAGAGTCCTCAGGGGACAGTCTGTTAGCACAAGAATCTGAAGGGAACATTCTAAAGAGGTGGATACCAGTGATTTCACTGATGAAGGGTTTCAGGGATTGGGGAGAAGTAGGAGACAGGGACAGAATAAGGAGTATCTAGAACTTCATGGGAGTGAGAGTGCCTACTGTCAGTACTTCTTTTCAGCATTACACTGGAGGTCCTAATCAGCTCAAAAAGACAAGAAAAAAAAAAAAGATGGGGAAAAAATAAGGATGAGAGACAAAACTCATTATTTACATATAATGTAATTGTCTAATTAGAAAATATTAAAAGACTAAAAAAGTATAAGATGAATGTAATATACTTATAATGTCACTGAGCTAGACACCTAAAAAAGAGTAACATGCATTGTGCAATTTTGTTTTTCCATTTAATATTATACGTTTCATTTATTTTTTTGTTTAATTGTGTCAGGGCTTTTTGGTAGGGTGTTTTGTTTTGTTTTGTCCCTGAGGAAATTGACAAGCTGATTCTAAATTACATGAAAGAACAAAGGGTCAGAACACTCCTGAAGAAGAATGAGATGGGAGAAATTTATACCCTACCAGATATAAGGACTTACTGCTGCAGTAATTAAGACAGAATGCTATTCTGTGGGACAAATTGAATGTGATAGCTTAAAAATCTATCCATGCATAAATGGAAATCTGCTATATGGTGGAGGTGACAATGAAGATCACTGGGAAAAGCAGGACTGTTGAGTGAGTGCTGCTAGGACCAGAGTCTTCATGCAGGAGAGAGTGAAATTATCCTCCTCACATCCTCTACAAAAATCATTCTCGGGTGAATTAAAGAATTAAATGGAAAAGATAAAAGTTTAAGCCTTTCAGAAGAAAATACAGGAAAGAATCCTTATGACCTCCGAGTGGGGAAAATTTTCTCAAGACCCAAAGCATTCTAAGCATAAACATGATTGTAATAAAAGTAGGAGTTTCTGTTCTTCAAAAGACAATATAATACAAAGGAATTTAAAAAACAACTTGGGGAAAGTAATTTGAAGTCTATAGACCTGAATATGTGAGGAATTCCTGTGTAAGAAAGACAAGCAAATTAATAGAAGAATGGCAGACTTCAATAGTTGTTTTACTGAAGAGAACACACATATGAAAAGATAACCCAGGAAATGTAAAATAAAACCCCAGTAAGACACTGTTAGATTACCAAAATTAAGAAGTCTGACAAAGCCAAGTATTGATGAGGATATGCCTGTTCTTGATTTAAATGGAAACATACACTATACTATCTGTATTTTAATAGTAATGAAATGTTATATGTATTGTTTTAATTGAGTTGAGCTGTCTCAGTCCACACTTGGCCCCCAGCCCCTGTTCTAACCTTTCTTGAGTAACAGATCCCATTTTAGCAATCCTTTCTGTTTTTACCCCCTAATAGAAATCTTTTTCTGCTGATCTGGAATGAGTTCACAGCAGTAGTGGATTGCTGGCTCTCTGCCTCATACATAGTGACTGACTCGTTGATTTGAAATCATGTGCTTCATCAGGAAATTACCAGAAGGAGAAGTGATCTCTCAGCCTCTGACAATAATAAGACACCCTTTGGGCAGCTCGAAGCCTTATGTGAACAACCACAGTAATAAGCTGTTGTGAGGTAGATATAATTACTGTAGAATGTTAACAGCAGAGAATTTTTTAAACTACATAAGTTTAAACTGAAAGACAACCTTAAAGTTGAATTCCCTCATTTTTGGAGTAGAATAATCAAGTAAAAATAGACAAATTTGTCATCAGACGACCTGGCTATTTGTCTACCAATGCCACCAACTTGCCTTGAAACCTCAGGCAAGTCACTTTTACTCTGAGCCTCACTTGCTGTAAAATGGGTATAATAGACCTACCCTACCCTACTTTTCAGAGTTGTTTGGAGAATGAAAGAAAATAACGGTGAGAAATGCCTGGTTAGCTATACAGTGCCAGGATCAAAGGAGGCATTAGTATCAAACTTACTATTTTACAGACGAGAAAACACAGGGATGAAATTACTTGTTCAAGGTCATTCAACTAGTTATGGAAGAACTGGGATATGAATCAAGATTTCCAAATTCCTGAGTGAGTGTTCTTTCTGCTGTCCCCATGTAGCCCTTCCTTCTATAATTAAGAATAAGTCTTTTTCATATAAATTAAATTTTTCAGAATTTTCTTGGCAATTATTCACATTTTTTAAAACTTAGCATTTCAGACTATGCTAAGGTAGGATGTATTCATCCAAGAGGCTCTTTACGGACAATATTTAAAATGCATGCTTGTATTGATAGAATTTACTAAATGAGAAAATCTGCAGCACACTTGGAAGTATTAGGGATGATCTTTCATACTCTATTCAGAAGAGGAAGTATGTCAAACTGCGTCAAAAATCTATTGTAATAGTATATGTCATGTCTTAAAAATCATCTTACTGATGTTGATGAATCAGAATAAGGTTCTGTTAAGTCCCCTCTTATTTGGTAGTGTTAATGCAGTTTGAAAGAATTCTCATATAAAAAGCAAATGTCACAGCGTGTGCCACTTTCTTTTTATTCTGAAAAGCATATGCTGTTTGCTTTGTAAGGTAGAGCTGGTTATACCCACACCCTGCTGATGCCACCTCCCAGTTTTTGAGACACCTAACCTGTGACACCTACCTCTGAAAGGCTGTAGTGAGGGACTCCCAGCTGGGCCTGCCGCTGATCCTCTTCCCTACACCACTGCCCTGGCCTGAGGATCTTCTACCAAGAAGCACAGCGCAAGGGAAGAATACTCAGTTACCACCCCCCCCACCCCCCCACAGCCTCTCTTTCTTGTCAGTAATGTGAATCGAATTAGAATAACACCTCCCCCTTCCCCCATCCAGGTCCAGGGTGAACAGGTGTCTCTGATTCTACAATATGCTTGCTGCCTTTTGACCCAAATATGAGTCTTGACTCCCCCACTTGGTGGCCAGTGTATGAATCGTGGACAAATCCCTTACGTAGTGTCAGTTTCCTCATCTCACATGAGGCTAATAATCACTCCCTCCTCCCTCCTGTCTGAGAAACTGCAACGTGCTATCAGCTGTTACTAGCGTGGTGGGCAAGCTCTGCAGGATTGTAGCACAGTGAACCCTACGCTGAGACTCAGAATGAGAAAAGCCAGCCGGAATCAGTAAGAAGACAAAATGACATTTTTTTTTTTTTAAAGAGACAGTTTGACTGCCGGGTCATATACTAGGAGATGGTTAATAAAATGTTGGGAGAACATGCTTTAAAGAAAGTAAGACTGTTTCATTTAGTGTCAGTAGCATTTTAATTGTATGACACTGGACCTTGTAAGTGCTCGAGAAATATCCCTCCAATGTATGGGGTCCTGCAGGTGTTGCTATACCTTTGATCAGGAGGCCCTTTTTCCTTCAAACTCTGGGTGGTTCAGTCTGGTTCTTTTCATACTTACCACTAATGTAAGTTATTTTGACCCTTAAATCAATCAGATTTTATTTTGAGTAAGTTTTATTTGAGCCGTCAATATAAGTGCCAGCTGCTTTTGTTTCATAGGTATTAAAACCAGGCAAAAGCGTCTTGTTTCGTGACTATGGGCTGTATGATCATGCCATGCTTAGGTTTAAAGCTGGCAGCAAACTTGGAGAAAACTTTTACGCTAGACAAGATGGAACCAGATCATATTTTTTTACTGATGGTAAGGTTAATGAAATTTGCTTTTATTTCTGTTTACTTGCTTGCATTATCACTGTGGTACTGGTTGGGGGTGGGGCCAGCAACACAGAAGGCACATGCACAAGGTCCTGGCTGGAACCATCTCCAGGGCACACCACTCACCCAGCACCTGGGACGACAGGGACACAGCTCTGACCATGCTGAGCTCACAAGCCTCCTCTGGTGACAGTGTCTTGTTAGCGAGCCTGGGTTAATGGACAGACTCTGGCATGCCACGTGTATACCCTACCAGGAACCGTGCTGGAAAAGGGGGAGGGCAAAGCAGGATCGTCATTTCAGTCACAAAACAAGTAGGGCAGGGGCAAGCTGGCTGGCTCCGTTGGAAGAGCATGCAACTCTTGATCTCAGGGTCATGAGTTCAAGCCCCATGTTGCATGTAGAGATTACTTAAAAAAAAAATAAAGTAAACTTAAACACACACACACACAAGTAGGACTACATAATGCCTGGAGATTACCTTCCCAGGTCACAAAGGCAAGAAACCTTTGTCTGTAAAGGTGTTAAGTACACAAATTTGCTATAAAGCATCTTTCAAAAGTCATTTTGATAAAAACATCCAAACACTGATCATTATTTCTGTCTTATACCAAAATAATTTTAAGCCTACCTAGTAATTTGGACCATAAAATAATTATCTTCTTCAACTCTATTTTCACAAACATTTCCATGTCTTGAAATATTCTTTTGAGTTTAGAATGAAATAAAAAATGAGTGATTAGCATTAAAACTGCGAAGTCATAGAAATGTCAGGTGAAAATTAAAAATTTGTTTTAATGTTTCTGATTGATGAAATCTGAGTCAACCAATTGTAAATAATTGAGAAGATGCAGTGATGTCTGCAGAGTGCTTCGGAGCACATTCTGCAGAGTAATGCTCTTACTAATAAGAGTATTTTCGCCGCATAGCCATTCTATTTGTTTCATTTAACATGTAGAGATGGATTACTGGGGTTAAATTTTCCTTAGGGTATATCACCCAGAAGTAATGGGTTTCCCCACTCTGGTCACAGATGTTCCTCCATCATGTTCAGATAGATGAGGTGTTTGATGTAAACACATTGAACACATGAAGACTTTGTATGAATATAGCCAGTTTGGAATTGTGTTTCTTTTTACTTGGACTTTGTATTTGGGGACTTATAATAAGAGGGTAAGGTGGCCGTACTCCAAGTTGTCCTTAAACTTTTCTAATTAAATTATTTATTTGGGAGTAAGAAGAGAAGTAGGAGTGTGTTACTTTCCAAAACAAAAATCTATTAATTTTAGCAGCGAAATTTTTGTTACATTAAAAAAAAAATCCCTTCCAGCACCCCTGCCCTCCTGTTTACCACTGCAGAGCAAATGTGGTAGTATCGTCGAGACCGTGAGCATTGTTGATCTGCTTGCCTTACAGAATTCCTGGCTCGGCTCTTTACGGACACAGGTTATGAAGAAGTGGTGAATGAGTATGTGTTTCGTGAGACGGTGAACAAAAAAGAAGGCCTGTGTGTGCCAAGAGTTTTCCTTCAGAGCAAATTCCGAAAGTGTCCTAAGAACCCAACTCTGGGTCACAAGTCCTGACCTTTCACGAGGTTGACAGTTGTGCCTCCCCTTGAAGAGGAAAGTTTAAAGTCACTCTTCATTTTGGATATTTTTATATTTTTTTATAATGAGGACATATAATTTTTATATTGAAAAGTAGCAAGTGTCTGTGTATGTCTTATGGAAATGCAAATAAAATTGCAAGGGCTGAAAAGTGAAGTTTTACAGTATAATGTAATGTAGCCATGCTGTCTGACTAAAATTCCACCAAGGGGAAAGCATAAGCACTAAAAGAGATCCTTGCCATCGGTAAATGTGCCGTGATTCAGTAAATGTGCCTCCAGGCAGCATGTCAGGCAATCCTGTGGAAAAATGAGGCCAAATAGACTAAAATAACACATCCGGATGTATTTTTAGCCTGAAGGATTGTTCTCTTTCTAGTGTCTCTCATTTGCCCATTTCTCTCTGCTTCCGTTCATTTATGTGCCTCTTCAGGACCAGTGTCACACATACAGCTTTTGCTAGGACTCAAGAACCCACCATGGCGCCCTGCCTAATTCCTGAGACCCTCTCTAACTGAGCCAGGACCTGGCCACACTGCCCCCCGGGGAGAGAGGGGAACGCCATCACCTGTCCTCCCCATCTACCCGATGCAGTTTCTCCAGGAATACAGTGGATGGACTGTCCCCGTAAAGGACAGTCCGACCCCATAAAGGAAGGACCGCAGAGTTTTCACTTGGAATATTTAAGGTTGGCGTAATGACATACTACCCACCTTGGACATTGACATTGAGCAAGGTAACCTCTCAGTGACCCACTTTAAAATATGTTGGTTGTAAGGTCTACTTAAATGATGTGACGTAGTCCATCAGAGTTTCAGCCTTGAGCCAATGGATTGGATTAAGAAACAATAAAAATAAGGCTAAGCATAATAAAAACAAGGCTTCAGTCCCACTGCCTCTGGGTCCCCCTGTTGATTCTCCCCAGGCAAACCTCTATTATTGCACCCCAGGTTAAGACAGAGCAGCAGGGATTTCCACGGGTTGGGTGCCCAGGGACCCAGGGAAGCAAAGCCACAGTTTTAGTAGCAAAACTTGAACATTTATTAAATCATAGACTACGAACAGTCCACCAATATTGCCTTGTCTTCACAGAAAGCAGCTCCAGAAAGGCAGTGAGTACTAGTTAACAGTATTATAGAGAATAGTATAAGTACCATAATGTTATATAGTATGGTATATATACTATGTCTAGCATACATATTATACAATATGTATCCTATACCACATAGTACAAGGTATTTCTTTTGAGTTTTTGGTATGTACTACATACAGAAATGCTAATAAAGTTGTATCACGTGATTTGGAGTTTGGAAATCTGGGTTCAAGTGCAGGACTATACCCCCGACAAGTCACCAGCTTTCCGGAGCCTCAGCTTTCCCATCTCTAAGGCTGAGCCCCTGTGACCTACAGGGTTGCTGCCAGTGCTAAATGAGATCATAGAATTGGGAGTGCTTTGTTTACTAAAAAGTGCCAGCCAAGTGCTAGTTATTTCTATTAGTTTGTATTCCCCATGAAAATGGTCTCTCCCATTATTAAATCCTAATTCTTCTTCCGGAAGGCTTTTAATCTTGGGGTCCTCAAAAGGGCCTGGGATTTGGATGTGCTGCCGCAAGGTGGCGCTAGATACTCAATAATCCCATTGGCCTTTGTTCTCATTTTAATTGTGGTTCTAGCATGTCCGTTTTTATTGTTGTTGAAAAGGAAGGAAAATGCTTACAAATGTGTTTTCTAGGTCAGCTTTATCTCGTAAGATCAATTTTGGCCTCGCTGTGGAATAAGAAGTAAGGATTCTTTTATCCAGCATTCAATCTACTTTACCTACTGAAGGTAGTTTGCTTTCAGCTGAATTTGGGCAACATTTTAGGCAGTAGGCTCTGAACGTGTCTGCAAGCCCCCGCCCCCCATCCCTGAATGGTTCTGTGGATTCATTTTTACTGTTGCTAGGGATTAAGGCAAAGCAAAAGAAGGGACTGCAGCCTGGATACTTGTTTGCCTCACACTATTATTCATAGTTATCTTTGACAGCATTTGGTTTCCTATTTCACAGTAGTCAAGCAAGGAAGGGAAAATTGTGAAATAAATCATGTGCACCAAGAGAGTGAAGCGGGATCATGTTTGCTGTTGGGGAGCCGATATTTAATATAAACTTAAATAGGCTCTGCCTCTGAAACCAAATATTCCATTAAAAATAAAATTAGTTACTTTTCACTTTTCTGCCCTCACGTGTGTGACATTTCATTAGATAGTATTTGCTAAGTACCCACTGGAAGCAGGGTACTGTGGGATTGCTCTGGCTGGAGTACAGGGATAGGGAGGGAGGACAGTGTGGGTAGGGAAGCAGCCCAACCGTATCTTCACTAAGCCAAAGTGCGACAGCTAAGGAAAACAAGCACAAACACTCTGAACACCAGAGGAAAGAAAAAGAGGAAGAGAAGCAATGGAAAACCTGAGGGTGGCAACTGTCACCATCACTTGGAAAGGATATTTCCAGTTTCCAGTAGAGACGTCATATGCCCTGGTGTAGGGCATAGCCATGGAGATGAGAATGTGATGCAGAGCTCTTACTTACAGTAACTTCCCAAGCACATCTAGAAAAATACCATGACTAGCAAAATGAGATCATTCCTAGAGGAAATACAACTTCTAACAAAATGGTCAGCTCTAGTTAGAAACAGTTATTCAATTGAGACTCTCTTCTTTACCTATCGAATGCATAAAACTTAAAAAGTGGTAATACTTAATGCTGGTAAAAGGATGGAGAGATCAATTATGGAGATATTAAAAGTACGGCTTCTCTAAAACAGCACTGTCCACTAGAACTTTCTGAAATGATGGAAATAATCTCTGTCTGCATTCTCCAATATGGTAACCACTAGCCACAAGTGATTACTAAGGACTAAGGCTAGTGGCCAGTGCAACAGAGGAACCAATTTTAAAATTACATATAAATACAACTGTAGTCACGTGGCTAGTGGCTACAATATTGGACAATGCAAGCCTAGAACACAAGTATCGTGTAGTAAGTTTCATAAATCTATACATAATCTTTGATCCAGTAATCCCATGTTTGGGAATCCAATTAAAGAAAAATAGAATAATTAGGAAATACTTATACAAACATTTTCATGAAAATGCTATTTAGAGCAGTGTAAAGGTGACAACAGCTTAAATATCTAAAAATAGGAGATTGGTTATATAAATTATACCATAAATTAAATATTGTACAGTCATTAAAACAATAATTAGAAAATGCTCATTCTATAATATAAGTAAGCAGGAATATAAAAATGTAGAGAAGAATGGTTCCAATTATGTTTAATAATAAATATTATAAAAGGATAGGTAGATATATTAAAAAAAAAAAACACCTAGGAAGGAACCAATTTAAAATGGTTAAAATATTTAGTTCACAGTTGTTCAATTATAGCTGATACTTTTTGTTCTTTATACATCTCTGAAACTTTCATGTTTTCTGTAATGAGCATATACTGCTTTTACATTAAGGAAAAAAAAAATGTAATCTAGCATCCTCAGAACTCCTTTCCAAAACTCACAAGTTAACCAAAATCCTTGTGACAAATCTGCTAGAAATGCCATTTCAACCTTTAAGATTCTTACCCACCAGGAGCTAGAGGACACCCCCCGAGAGAGAGAATGGGTGTCCTAGGGTATTCTTTTTGTTCCCAGTGCTCTGGAGTCGTGGTGAGGCGCCTCAGATTGCAGGATTTTCATCTGTTGGGATTTGGAGATGCAGATCCCTCAGTTTGGGGAAATTTACTCAAATTATTTATTTATAATGACTCCTCACCACTACCAACACACGCACGCACACACACACACACACACACACACGTTCTCTTTCTGGAACTCTTGTTATTAAAACATTGAACTTTCTGAACCAATACTATAATTTTACAACCTGTTCTCTCTCTTCCCACCATCTCTCTTATTTCATGTTTTGCTTTCTGGGAGATTTGATTCAGTCAGAATCCTCCACTGAGTTGTTAATTTTTGCTTTCATATTTTTAAATTCCAAGAATGCTTTTTTATTCTTTCAATGTTCATTTTAAAAAGAGCAACTTGGCCTTGCTTCCTAGATGCAGTGTCTTCTCTCTGTCTAAGGCATACATTCTCCACGGGGGCACTACTGTCCCCCAGAGGCACAAAAATTGGTTCTTTAGGGGTTGGCAAAAAAACCTAGATATTACAATGATTTGTAGCCCTTCAAAACTCAACCCTATCTGACAAAATCATATTCTTTAATACTTAATTTCTCTCATTAGGAAAAATAAAATTGAATTCTAATTTTTCTCCTTAGAGGTGTGATTTAGGTTTTCACCTCCCCGCGTAGTCTCCATGAATTGGTCTGGGCTCTCCAGAAAAAGAGACCCAATTATATAGAGATAGATAGAGATAGAAATATATACATACAGTATATATCTTGAACAACACAGGGGTTAGGGGAACCAATCCCTTGTGCAGTCAAAAATCTACAATAACTTTTGACTCCCCCAAAACTTAAGTACTAATAACCTACTGATGGTCTTACTGATAATGAACAGCGGATTAACACATATTTTGTATGTTCTCTACTATTTTCCGAAAATATTCTATACTATATTTTTATGACAAAGCAAGCTAGAGAAAAGAAAATGTTAAGAAAATCCTAAGAGAAGATATATTTACAGTACCGTGCCTTAAAAATTCTGCGTATAAACGGACCCGTGCAGTTTAAACCCGTGTTGTTCAAGTCTCAACTATGAGAGACAGAGAGAACTACTATAAGGAATTGGCCCACACACTCATGAAGGCTAAGAAGTCTAAGATCTGCAGTTGGCAAGCTGGAGGCGCAAAAGAGCAAATGGTGTGGTTCCAATCCCAGCCTGAAGGCCTAAGAGGCAGGATTGTCAGTGGTTGAAGTTCCAGTCTGAGCCCGAAAGCAGGACAAGACCAGCGTCCCAGGTCAAGACAGTCAGGCAGAGAGAAAGAATTCATCTTACTCAGCCTTTTATTCTATTCAGGCCTTCAACAAACTGGATGAGGCCCACCCACATCAGGGAGGCCAACCTGCTTGACTCAGTCTACTGATTCAAATAGTAATCTCATCCAGAAACGCCCTCACGGACACACCCAGAAATAGTGTTTAAGCAGATATCTGGGTACTCTGAGGTCCAGTCAAACTGAAATGATGGATGCCTGGGTGGTACAAGCAGTTAAGCGTCAAACTCTTGGTTTCAGTTCAGGTCCTGATCTCAGGGTCGTGAGATCAAGCCCCATTATCAGGCTCTGCACTTAGCGAGAAGTCTGCTTAAGACTCTCTCTCCCTCTCCCTCTGCCCCTCTTACCCCCACTCTCTTTAAAATAAATAAATAAAATTTAAAAAATAAAAATAAAAATAAATTAACCATCATACTGTTTTCTCTCTTGTTTTCCTTTCCTGTTTTGGTCTCTATCTTTAGGGGCTTTTCTCAGATGTGTGGTGATCCTTGGTTTTCCATTTATGTTTTAAAATGGGGAGCTTATCTAGAGGGGAGGGGGGTGGGAGGATGGGTTAGCCTGGTGGTGGGTATTGAGGAGGGCACATTCTGCATGGAGCACTGGGTGTTATGCACAAACAATGAATCATGGAACACTTCATCTAAAATTAATGATGTAATGTATGGGGATTAACATAAGAATAAAAAAATAAAAATAAATAAATAAATAAAATGGGGAGCTTAAAAGCTGCTAGGAAGAAGCTCTGAGCATGAGAGGGAGTTGTCAATGTGGGCTTCCCCACGTGGTGATCTGACTAGGCTGTTGCTTTGTATAACCTATAGTTTGCTATCTTTAGGTCTCTCCAGAAAATACTCTTCCAGCCCCTGCCAGGTGGATACCATCCTAGCTACCCGTGATCTGGGAGCCAAGCCAGTGGGGAGAATCTCAACATTTGGTATGTAAGCTTTCACTTAGTTTACTGGGGAAGTGTTAGTGGAATGCCATTTACAATATAGTACTCCATCCTCAATTTTGCCCCGTGTCTCCTTATCCAGAGACATTTTGTGTTTAGCCTCTAGTCTTGTTCTGGGGTGGGGATCATACACTTGTCTGGCATGTGGACATGGGGACGAGGCTTGGGGGGTGTATCTGCTCCTTAAGACCTCTCAGCCAGTCCTTTGATTTTCAATCCTGTCTATACCGACACTTCTAGAAATAGCTGGTACTGCCAAATCCTGAGGCATAAAACCTTTGGGAGTTCTCAATGCAAACTGAGTTGCTTCTTGTCTTTCATCACTACTGGCTTAAGATTGAGCTTCTCAAGTCTTCTAGGTGGGCTGCTATTCATCCTCTGCTTTCAAGTCCCCCACAGTTTGTCATGTCTTTATTGACTTTATCCTGTAAAAAAAATCCTTTTGCTGTTATTTTAGTGGGCTTTCCAGAAGGAGCTGAAATAAGGGCATGCACTTAATCTGCCATCTTTAACCAGTGGGGTTGGGAAGGAAAAGGCAGCCCATAGGTGGAGGGACCATTTGAGGAGGAAAGAGATTAGGATGATTGCCAAGTGCAAAGGGGCTGAAGGATCTGGAAGAACGGAGGCAACTCAGGGATGCTGAACTTGTTGGCATGTGCTTAGAACTAAAGAAACGTTAGTTCCAGGCATTCCCTTGGGCAGAGCCCAGGATGTTGCTGAATGAGAGTCAGGTCGCTATGCAGAGAGCTGCTTCAACCTGTGCAGTACAGATCAAGGACCTTAGCAATGGCCAGACTTTTTTCCCATTAACTTAATTTGTAGGATTGCTTCCTAGGAGAGAAGCTAACATATCTATAAGGATGTCTTTAGAAAGATGTTTATTAGCAGCATTATTTGTGATACTAAATATTAGGAACAGTCTAAACCAGGGCTCAGCCACTATGGCCCATGGATGAAATCCAGCCCTCCTGTTTCGGTAAGGAAAGTTGCCCTGGCACAGCCACACCCATGTACACGTTGTTTATATTTCCTTTCATGCTGTAACAGCAGAGACTATGGCCAGCAAAGCCTAGACTATTTACTAACTGGTCCTTTAAGACAAAGTTTGCTGACCGCTGCTCTAAATGACTAGTAAGAGAATGGATAAGCCAACTAAGGTACATCATACGACAAAATAGGATATAATCCATGAACATTATATCTAGGAAAAGGTTTTGGTTTTTTTTTAAACTGGTAAAAAATACGCATAACATAAAATTCACCATCAACCTTTTTTTTGTTGTTTAAAAGTTGGGGGGGGGAGGGGCAGAGGGAGAGCGAGAATCCCCAGCAGGCTCCACACCCACTGTGGAGCCAGACTTGGGGCTCGATCCCACAACCCCAAGATCATGACCTGAGCTGAAGTCAAGAGTCAGACACCCAACTGACTGAGCCACCCAGGTGCCCCTATACCATCAACCATTTTTAAGCGTATAGTTCAGTGGTGTTATATTCACATTGTTGTGAAACAGCTTCAGAACATCTGCAGATCTGAAATTCTATACCCATTAAATAACATTTCCCTTTCCCCTCCCCTCCGCAGGCTCTGGTAAGCACCATGATACTTTCTGTTTCTATGAATTTGACTCCTTTAGAAATCTCATATAAGCAGAATCATATAATTGTTGTCTTTTTTTGTGACAGGCTTATTTTACTTAGTGTAATATCCTCAAAGTTCATCCATGGTGTAGCATGTGACAGGATTTTCTTCCTTCTTAAAGCTGAATAAAATTCCATTTTGTGTATATACCACAGTTTGCTTATTCATTCATCTGTCAGTGGATATTTGGGTTGCTTCTACCCTTTGCTATTGTGAATAGTGCTGCTGTGAACATAGGTGTACAAATATCTCTGAGACCCTGCTTTCAACTCATTCGGCTATATACCCAGAAGTAGGATTGCTAGATTGTATGGTGGTTCTATTTTTAATCTTTTGGGGACCGTCAATGCTGTTTCCATAGTAGTACGATTTTACAATCTTACCAATTGGAACAAGGGTTACAATTTCGCCACATCCTCAGCAACACTTGTTATTGTGTATATTTTTGATAGTAGCATTCTAATGGGTATAAGGTGATATCTCATGTGGTTTTGATTCGCATTTCTATGATGAGTAATGATTTGAGCATCTTTTTATATGATTATTGACCATTTGTATATCATCTTTAGAAAGATGTCTATTCCAGTCCTTTGCCATTTTTGTTGTTTGCCATTTGTTGTTGAGTTATAGGAGTTCTTTATATATTCTAGCATCCCCCCTCTTGCTAGAATCCTTTCTTGGTTTTACAAGGGCTTGGGTGTTACAGCTTTCATCTGGTCTCTACAGTTCTCACAGAGATATCCTGGCCCATACATGGGGTTAACTCTGTCTCTGTAGGGGGAGGAGAGCCTGTGGCTTCCTAGTCTGTCATCTTGCTTATGTGACTGTCATAGGAAAATGTTTTTAGCATTTTAATACAATGTTTATGTTTCAATGTTAAGTTTAAAAAAGATCCAAATGTAAAATTACACAGTCTGTTCTGAACTATATAAAAACATTCATAGAAAAAATACTGGTAAGAATGCAGTACAATAAAATGTTAATTCTTTTCTGTACTCTCTAAACATTTTACAACAAATTTATATACTTATATAATCAGGAGGGAGAAAGGCAATTTAAAAAAACAACCACAGGGGCCTGGGTGGCTCAGTCAAGTTAAGCATCTGACTCTTGATTTTGGCTCAGGGTCATGATCTCAGGGTCATGGGATTGAGCCCTGCATCGGGCTCCATGCTCAGTGTGGAGTCTGCTTGAGACTCCCTCTCACCTTCTCTCTCTGCCCCTCTCCCCACTCATCTGCAAGTGCTCTCTCTATATATAAATAAATAAATAAATAAACAAACAAACAAATAAAATCTTCAAATAACAACAACCACTAGAAGCTCAGAAGTAGACCAGGGGGGATAGGAAAGGAATCTTGTATTCAGGGACCCAAAGATCAGAGAAACAGTGTTCTGAAGGTGTGTAGGATAGAGTTAGGAAAAAGAGAACAGAACAATGCAGAGTAAGAAAAAATGAGTAGTAGTCAGGCAGCACCTATGGGAGGGTTGGGTGAGGAGAAAAGAAAGAACCTTCTAAGTCAACCAAGATGTCTGAGGAGCTGCCCCTACAACCTCCTCATTAGATGCATACTTTGTACAGGAGGACTCCGTCTCACTGTGACATGGCCCTTTAAACATAAGGGTCAGCATGAGGCATGGGAATCTCAGGGGAAGAAAAAGGGGAAACACCAAGAATTTCTGTCCTTCATGTAATGACAGTCCAGGGTTGCCCAACTTGAGGGAGTTCCCAAGGCTGAGGGTCCCAAAGGGTAACCAACCATCCCAGTTTGCCAGGACAGTCCTGCATCACAGGCAACTTCTTAGTGCCAGATGAACCTGGGTGTTAGTTCCCCTGGAAGCCATGCTCTATCATGCACGCGCAAGCAAGTGAGCGCAGGTGCGCGCAGGCGCGCACACGGAGCTTTGGCTACATTTGTGAGGTAACTGAGAATGGACTCACCTTTTTTTTTTTTAAGTTTTTAATTTTAATTCCAGTGTAATTCACACACAGTGTTATATTAGTTTCAAGTACAATATGGTGAGTCAGCACTTCCATACATGACTCAGTGCTCATCATGATAAGTGTACTCTTTTTTTTTTTTAAAGATTGTATTTATTTGACAAAGAGAGACACAGCGAGAGAGGGAACACAAACAGGGGGAGTGGGAGAGGGAGAAGTAGGCTTCCCGCTGAGCAGGGAGCCCGATGTGGGGCTCGATCCCAGGACCCCGGGACCATGACCTGAGCCGAAGGCAGACGCTTAATGACTGAGCCACCCAGGTGCCCCATGATAAGTGTACTCTTAATCCCCTTCACCTATTTCTCCTATCTCCCCCTCCCCGTAACCATCAGTGTGTTCTCTATAATTAATACTCTGCTTCTTGGTTTCTCTCTCTCTCTCTTTTTTCCCCTTTGCTCATTTGTTTTGTTTCTTAAATTCTGCATATGAGTGAAATCATATGTATTTGTCTTTCTCTGACTGGCTTATTTCACTTAGCATAATACTCTCTGGCTCCACCCATGTTGTTGTAAATGGCAAGATCTCTTCTTTTTTATGGCTGAGTAGTATTCCATTGTATATATTTACCACATCTTCTTTATCCATTCATCTGTCGATGGACACTTGGACTGCTTCCAGAATTTGGCTATTGTAAATAATGCAGTAAACATAGGGGTGCACATATCTTTTTTAATTACTGTTTCATATTCTTTGGGTAAATACCCAGTAGTGTGATTACTGGATCATAGAATAGTTCTATTTTTAACTTTTTGAGGAACCTCCATACTATTCCCCACAGTGGCTGCAACAGTTTGCATTCCTACCAACAGTGCACGAGGGTTCCTTTCTCTCCACATCCTCGACAACACCTGTTGTTTCCAGTGTTGTTAATTTTAGCCATTCTGACTGGTATGAGGTGATATCTCATTATAGTTTTGATTTGCATTTCCCTGATGATGAGTGATGTTGAGCATCTTTTCATGTGTCTATTGGCCATCTGTATGTCTTCTTTGGAGAAATGTCTATTTATGTCTTCTGCCCATTTTTAATTTTTTTAAATTTTTATTTATTTATTCGTTTATTTATTTTTAGATTTTTATTTTTTATTTATTCATTTTGAGAGTGAGAGAGAGAGAGCACGAGCAGGGCAGAGAGGCAGAGGGAGAAGCAGACTCCCCACTGAACCAGGAGCCCAATGTGGGGCTTGATCCCAGGACCTGAGCTGAAGGCAGATGCTTAACCATCTGAGCCACCTGGGCACCCCTATTTATTTATTTATTTAAAGATTTTATTTATTTATTTGAGTGAAAGAGAGAGAGAGAGAGAGCATGAGTGTGGGGGAGGGGGGAGGGAGACTCAGACT